TTGGCTGGAGAGGGTGGTATGTTGAAACCGCTGGTAATATTGGGAGAGGCGAAGTCGTCCATTTCGTCGTTCAGGATTATGCCTGTGCTGTCTGACGCAAAGCCGGCGCCGAAACTAAAAACAAAAAGTCATTTTAATTTTGAAAAAAACCATTACCACGTGCCTGGTTCATACTTACAGAAAGTTTATGGTACTCGTGACGGAAACTGCATCGCCATTTGGTGCCAAAATCGATATATGGGCGGTGCCATGATCCTCAACGTTCGTGGTATTCGCTCCATAGTAAGCAGGATCTTGGAAAGTCTGGAAGTCGCAGATAGATTCCCTTATCTGTTCGGCGTGCTCCTTTGACGTCAGTTCGGCCACCACCTAAGCAGCAAGGATTCATTTCACTAACTTGCAATGAAGACAATAGAAGAATTTAGATATTTTATTGTTGTAATACAATTTGTGACAAACACGCTGTATATACGGTTTCTCTTACATCGTCGATATCCAGAAACCTCGCATCCCCCAGCAGAGTCCTTTTTCCGTATCCAAACTTGAAGCTCTCCACGATCCTCTGGTGTGTGGTGACAGACATCGATTCGGTGACGTCGATGAAGTTACTTAAAATGTTCAGAATGAACGTTAAAATTATTCCAGACCCCGGTAGCGGGGCCGTATACAGAGTCTGGTTGTTCAACAGCGACGCTTGGATGGGTTCTTGCCAGTCTGGTCTTAACGAAAGATTAATTTAATAAGTCAGTAAAACTGTTTTAAATAACGAGCGTTCAAATAAAATCGTGGTCAAGTTGGTTCTGAAAATTTGGACGTAGGGCGTAGCGTATAGCAAATGAACTTAAACGTCATCTGTCAAAGCGCTATATCGCCGCTATCAATTTGAATATTTTCGTTTTAAAAAGCGTTTAAAATGGTGTTTTCTCAAGAACAAAAAGTGTTTATCATAGAGTCCTACTTTAGAAATGGACGCAAGATTGATGGAATATGGAAGTATTCTATTGAGGAATGTTTCATAGAATTTCAAAATCAATTTCCCGGCGTTGTTGAGTACAAAATTTTTCAAAGTGCAGTTCAGCGTTGTGTTAATGTTTTTCGTGAAACGGGCAGTGTAACAAGAAAAGAAGGAAGCGGCCGACCTAAAAAGCGGACTGAAGAATTAAAAGAAAATGTCCAACAAATAATGGAAAATGCGCCAAGAACTTCTGTACGTGTTTTATCACA